CACGTGACACGTAAAATCCGATAAACTCGAATAAACAAACAGTATTCACCAATTGCTCAGACGAATATCCAATACCAATACAATACATTGATTGAAATACGAGATAAAAAACGAATGGAGTATTCGATAGGTCGTACTAATGGGTATGAATTAATGCATTAGAATTACGCATTAGAATCCGATCGGAGATTCAGGCGTTAGTTCGACTGCATATACATGCGCCCAAGTGACCACCGATTATTGGCCATTGATGATCCCCCTCGAGTGCAATCAATTCCCACTTTAACCAAACGCTTTAACTGCATTCCTCCCCTGACGTTAACAATTACCATTAATGTAATTATTCAGCCAAGTTTATGAAATTAACATCGACAAAACGGCGAAAGTAATTGAAAGATTTGTTGAGGAATTAATTATTAGAAACGCATGTTAATGAGTTAATTATTGTGATTTGCGTTGATTTGGCACTTGCCAAGGGGATTTAATCGCTATTAGATTGAGCATAGTCGGAAGAGCTTTCATATTCCAAAAAAATGTTATGATTATTATTATTATCAACATCAACATCACTATATTATAATCGGTAAAAAAAAATTGCTAGGACTTTCGATTTTAGAAGAGTTTGTAAGAATCTATATGCGTCTGCATTCAATTGTTAGAATGGTCTTTAATATTTATGACATTTTTTCTGAATTTTTGACATCATCAGGACCAGAAAATCAATAAAATCCACTGGTTGATTCATTGCACTTAACATTTAAATTCTGTGGGAAAAATCTCATGCCGATTTATATCGCGAATTCGTAGTGATATTTATCATCAAAAAGGGCTCGTCTGGCGTAACAAGTGTTACTCCAGCAAAAACATGTCACACAAAATTCAAATGTCCACGTTTATCTGTCAAGCGGCGGTTTTCCTCCTCTCAGTCGATTCCCAACCCTTCCCTCCACCCTCTTTTTTTTATTTAACCGGAAACGTGAGTAACGCTGCGTTTGCATTATCCACAAATCTATCGAAATCCCTCTTTACCTCTCAAGCCTCTACGTGCTACTCCGCTTGACGATCATTTGCACTTCGCCCGTACCAATAGTCGGTGTACAATTATCACGGGAATAATCAAAACCGTCAATCATTGTTAATTAATGCAAACGTTGAATTTGCAAGCTTTCCAACAGAATTTCGGTTATATTTTTACTCATCCGTGACGGTGAAATTTTAACGTTAATTAAAATTGTGAACTTGCTCTGCGATTTTTGTCAACGTGAAAGCCACGTGTTTCATTCTCTCGATTAATGGCTTCTTTAACTCATCATTTTTCCGTATTTACTCCTTAATTAATCCTGTTATTCTGAATTTCTCAGTTTTTTTAGTCCATCATGACATACATTTTGTGAATTTCAGAACTTGTCATTTTTTTAATTTATTCAAACAGAAAAGCAGCAAAATATTTTATTCTTCAATGACAAGGTTCACGAAAGAAAAAATTAAAATGACAATTTCTCAATTTCAGATGAACACGTCGAAAGTGGTGACGTGGGAGAACAACGCCGGAGTTGCTAAAGAGATAGCGAAAAAATCGCGACCTCTTGTAAAAAGATTCACAGTACCAGTGGGTGGTGGTTTTGAGGCGCAAGTTAGATTGTTGATACCACCAGGCGCCGACTTGACCGGTACCACCAAGTATCCAATGCTAGTTTACGTGTAAGTATTCCAACAGCAGTGATAAATCACCGGGGGTTGTTCACCGTGACCTGCCCACCAACTTTCGTGATGCATTCGATTTTCTCATCTCCTCTTATTTTCTTTTCACACACTTTTTCCCTCGTACCTCCAGACTTCTTTTTTTAACAACGCCCGTGCCAACTTACGCGAAAATGTCGCAGTGAAGTAGAAAAAGGGGATGACGAAGTTTGGAGTTTAAAAGGGAATCATTAAACGTGAACAATAATACGACGTGGAGAGGGGACGCCCGTTATTACGTATACACGATATTTCATCGAATAATGTAGCAACGATCGGAACAAGAACAAGTTTCCCGGCTCCGATGGGAGCACTTAGCTACCAACTTTCGCTCGCCTCGACATTTTTACTCGACTTTTTTTTTCTCATCGTCATGTTTTTTTTTTCTCGTTGGTTGCACATCGAGAGCTCCTCCAAAGCACCGTAGAATCCATTACATCATGACGATCAATCAGCTTTTAGAGCGCGACATCGGCCCGTATGTCCTCATGTATATGACAAGCGTTAACCTATCTTGGGGGAATGATGATGCGGATAAAGCCCGTGGGTGTACAGATGATAGCAATGATCGTAAACATGCTCGTACTCGTTGACGAAATGCGCTTTGTAGGGTATCTTCTATGAAGCTTGGAGTTATTAGAATGATTACTGGATGGGTTAACTAGTCGTCTGATTATTATTCTAATTGGAAATAAATTCGAGGGAATTATCACGAGGGAGCGAGTGAGGAAGACTTATCGATTTCCCACAATTTGACCGGAGACTCCAATTTTCGTTATCATTTCTCATTGACTCCTCTAAAAAGTTCTGTTACTAATTAGTCGATAAGAATTAATTCGTCAAATCAATTCGTCAAAGACTGGAATTTCCCTGGAAATTCTCGAGCCTTTTCAAAAAATTCGCTGGTCTTTTAAAAGATCGGCAGAAATGCCATAATAGCAGCGGGATATGACATTTTTTTCGAATAAGTAGATAGATGAACGTAAAAAGACTCCTTTTCAGTTAATGGAATTTTTTCTGCTGGATTCCCTCTGCCTTTTTAATAACACCACTTAGCCCTCAATCTCATCAAGAGCAATTTTCTCACTTTGCGGAAATAAAGCGCTGGGAAAAATGAGCAAATAAAGGGACAATAAATTTAATCGGACTCATCACAGTTATCTAGCTAATTACTCATTTTTTGAAAGGAGAAAAAAGTTTTGTGATTGTTTCATTGGAAATATATCTCGGCTCTCGGGAAATTGAGAATTAAGAAGAGGTCTGGCCAAATCTACTCCTCTACTACTTCCCGATTCACTATACAACTTTCGTTCAAGACCTGCATTATCCTAAGCCGGACAATCTGATAGGCTAGTTTCTTTTCGAATGCTGAACACGATTTTTTTTTTATTTTAATCTTTAGGATGAACTGGAGAATTACCATAATTTTCTTCACGAAAATTCTCCTTTATATTATCTGCTCTATTTTTTATCTCTTATCAAATAAAAATTTCGGTGAAAACGCGGACACCTGAGATTGTTAAAAGTTTTTATCTAAAAAAATTGGAATTACTTTCGGTCCAAAATGAGGTAGTACCACTTACGAGTCTCTTTTGAAATCTTGATAAATCCCAGCTCTCGCTTTCTCTCTTTCTCATATTGCTAAAAGGGAATCTTCAACTAGTTCCTTTCATCATGCTATTACTCGATTTCTTACTTCTTCATTCATGAGCGTTTTCTGTTTGCGGCTCAAACTATTGGAATATTTTATTCCTTCACCTTCACTTAGACGGAATTATATTTAGAAGAAGAAATTCTTTTTTTTCCATCCTCAATTCAAGAATTACATATTTGAAATAAGAATAGTATTGAATTCACTGGATATTTCAATAAAAGGGGCGATGTGAATTGACTACGTTGAACAGTTTTAAGGGAAAGCAAATGATACTGCAGGTAGATGTGGAACATCTGGAGAAAAATTTTTCTACATTGAAAGAAAATCAAGAAAACAAAGGGATGCGCACGTAACATGCGGCAAATGATATTCAAATTCACCGAGAAATGGAAAAAACTAAATGTGGAGAGGAAGATTAAAGTGGATAGCATGAAACGAAATTCCGCATCCAGTCAAACATGAATTGCTCAATGCTCAAACGTTCCTATAAATAATTTACAAAAAATATTCATACTTTCCAGAATTCATGGTTTAAATATGGAATCAAAACGGACGTCAATTGAATGAATATAGACTCCTCTGCCTCCAGCGAATTTCAAGACGCCAATTTTTTTATATGTTTATGACCTAAAAAGATCATTCTGGAAAATTTCCAGATCTTTATCTTTATTCCCTGATTTTTATCAATTCAAAAACTAAACTCTATGCGCTAATTTTGAGATAAAAATGATAAAGATGATGAAGGTGAGAATATGTTCAGAGTTTTCTCTTGGCGATCAAGGTGTTCTACAGTTTTAATGATGAAAATTTCACGGCTTAACAAAGTGTAATAGTAAATCTTAATAATGCGTAATTTGTAGTCGACACGATGGCCTGGAAAACTTTCACAATGTGTAAAAAGTTTTTGGTAACTCTCCAGGGGATGGGAAGGTCTTAAGACACTCAACAAGACAGCGAATGCGTAAATGTCGTCCCTTTTATCCTTTTCTAGACCTCTCTCCAGTCTGGTAACACTCCGGGAATTAAATACAACAGATCCGGCTGTTGCTTGCCGTTTCTCAACATCACCACAAACGAGGCTTGGGCCAGAAAAAAAGTTTTAAGCACTTTCCATGTCCTCTATTTACGTGGGAGGGAGGAAAATGGAATAAAATTTCTCTCCTCGCTGAGGCAAAATTTAATCGTAAAAATGAGGTTGCCGGTTATTTATATTTGCACTCTCAATGTTCGTAGAAAACAGAGAGGGTTGTTCTGGGGAGAGTTTTTAGGGGATGTATTGTTAACCTTCTCTCAGTACTTGTTGGTTCTTTAAATCCAATATCTTCCATTTATTCATTTGCCAAACTCATTCGATGGGATTAATTAGAAAAAATTTAATTCTATTAGTAACGCCATGTCAGGTCATGCATTTATTGAAATTTTTAATAATTAAAAATCGTTTCTGAGAACTGTTCATCATTTTAACCAAAACTGCTTTCATTCTAAAAAAATAATAATGACCAATTTTTTATTAAAAATTGAAGGGTTACAACAAATTGAATGATGTTTAGATACTTGTCTTGAAATTTATTTGAAACCGACAATTTTACTTCTCAAAGGGAGAAAAGTGTTTCTTGTAGAGGTAAAATTGAAATAAAATTTGCATTTGTTGATCGATTGTATCGTTATCTGCAGAGCACTTTGAACAATATTTGCTCGTAATAATCATAAAATAACAAACTAGAGAAGTGGCTAGAAGCCGGATAGCTCAGTTTTTCACTTAAAATTCCTTAGTATTCACATCGAGAATAATCCCAATTTCCCTCTTACACATCCAAGTGGCAGCCGACAATTTCCTGTGCACGCAAAAAAAAAATTACTCCCTAAACAGAAAGAAAAAAAATGTTTGAATGAAACAATCGATAAATAATTCTCGCAATAATTATGACCCGATATTTACTGAATACACATTACAGGATGATTAGGGAATTAGGATTTGACAGTTTGTTGCAATAATCCGTAGGTTAATGATATAATCCAGATATGGATGTTGTATAACCAATAGAGCAAGGAAGACTCATCAATTCACTGACCTTTGATCTCATCGGTCTATTATGATAGGGGTATGCAATCGGGGGATATCAAGAGGCTTTGTAAAGCATACCCTGCCACAATCATCCCTCGGGTCAATCGATAAATGACGGGACATATGCCCAGACAATCTCGTAAAGCATCGAATATCGTGATTTAACCGCGGGCTAAATGCCATTTCAGACCTGATTTGGGACTCCAAGAATGCGTTAATAAATATTTCATGAAAACAATGGTACTCTCACGCCTAACCTCGGGTCATTCATCATTCAGTGAATGGGGGAAGAGACTGTCTACACCAGTTTATGGGGGATAAACCCCATTTCTCTGGTCAACGGAAATTAAATGGGGATCATACGAGGTGTTGATCCCACTTTTATGGACATTATATTGCAACAAGGAAAAAACTACATCCGCTCTGCATCTCTTGTACAACAATATTTTATCATTAGTTTTTTTTTTTCTCTCTAGATCAAACAAGGGAGTTGGAACGCTATAAATTTATGACATCATTACGTTGCTCGAGCTTTTTTTTAATCCCATGGAAAATATGGGAGTTATTCTCGGGAGAGTGACATTGAGTCGGATTTAGGGGCAAAATGCATATGGAAATTCCAGTTTTTGGTTGAATTTAAGGAAATTCACGAGTTTTCTCTGCGAGTGACGTGGAAGCTTCATAATTTGACAGAATTCTTCATTTTGCTGTGAATTTTCGTTATTTTTAACTACTTTATGGAATAACGAAATTCTAAAAGCGGTAATTGTATTATATTTCAGCTCATTTAAAGGGAAAAATCATGAAATACGTGATTTTCAATTACGCCTTGTTCTAGAATTTCACTGAAAGTTGAATACTACCATTAATTTTTTTCTGTGTTAATCGACTCCACTGGAACTACTGCCATTTTAATGAATAAAAAATGAGTACGGTCTATTTAATATTTATTAAAATGTCGGGTTTAACGTGATTACGGGAAACATCTCGGGCATTTGAAATTTCTCATAAAAATATTCCATTCATCATTCATGATTCACTCGTCCTGTTTCGAATGATGATTTCCCCACAGATCCCCATTCTTCTGCTTCACAACCTCATCTCATCGGCAACTTCCTAATGGTTTGGAGTCACGCAAAAAGACATGCCCAGTGACTGCTCGAGGATTTCTCACATGAAAAATGAATAGGCTCTAGGTGACGAGATTTGATCGCCATCAATCGATCGCTCTTTGAAACTTTAACGCACGAAGGGTTAACACCTCTCGGTGAAGACGTCCATGAATAATCTTGGACACGTGTCTGAAAAAAAAAGGATTCTCGGTGAGGAGAGAGATCTCCTGGTGGACGGATGTGTCCCAGAGCGGTGAAAATCCCCTCGGTATATCCCTCCGTGGCTCACTTTTCCTATCACGTAGCTCCACCCTGAGCACTACCCACCAGAGGATGCAAATGTTCTCGTAATCATAAATTTCATATTTTTTTTCTCTTCATTCCATATTGACAATGCTAGGATGAAGATTGGAGAATGATAAGATCGAGAAATTTATGCCGTTGGCATGAATGAAATCGGAAAAAATTTCGGAAAGAACCGAAAAAGAGAAATTTATATTAATAATTATAATAAATTTTTCAGCAACCGTAAATTTGCATCAAATTTACCCCCAGTTTTTCAATAAAAATCACATAATTGCTTTGAAGATTCAATGAAAAAAAAGATAATCAAGAAATTCGATCAAATTCAATTTTGCTCACAGATATTACGAATATATTACTGATTATAAACAATATAAACAATACTGCTATTGTATAATTCCCATTTCGATCCGGAATTCCATTAAATTCTCTCTTCAATTCACTTCCCTCTAAAAAATTCGTTATAATTCCCTCAAAATTCCCAATTAAAACCTTCACCGGAATTTCCACCATTTCATAAAAATTTCTTTTTGTTTATTTCAGATATGGTGGACCTGACACCTACCAAGTAACGGAAAAATTCCACATAGACTGGGGCACGTATCTCGTAACTAACAAAGACATTATTTACGCTGCGATCGACGGCCGTGGATCCGGATTAAAAGGCAGTGCAATGCTATTTGCCGGATACAGAAATTTAGGAACAGTGGAAATTTACGACCAGATAAACGTCACGAGGTAAGCTCTATTTTTTATTCTCGATTCCCCCCACTTTGTCCACTGGTGTTTTTATTTTGCTTCGTAGGTAGGGAATAATCAGCGACATGTATCCCCGAAAAGTTTTCTTTCCCTCGGTACTGGGAGCGTTAGTTCAAACGAAAAAAAAAGAGTATATACCGTATATAAATAAGAGGAGCAGAAAAAGAAAGCAAAAACAAGGAGAACACAAATGTGAAACGGCGACGACGTAATCCTCTGATAACCCAACTATGGCTACTAACTCCCGGTGTCTAATCCGGACTTCCAGAACCGTTAAATTAACTCCTTCTTCTGAACCCACCCTCGTCCGACGACTCCTGGAACTGCCTAAAATAACGTTAACGTTTATTCCTTTGATTATTTTCTTTTTTCCCTTTTCCATCACTAACTTGGGGCAAATTAATCGCTCCACTTTTCTTCTAGCTCTTCACACTTTTTTCCTCATTCCACATTTTTTTTTGTTTCCTTTCGACCACCTGCATTTCCGGAGGTCCGAGGATCCATTAATTAACTTCCTCTTCTTCCTCTCTGAAACGTCTCCTCCCTGCTGGGTTTCAATAGAAAAAAAGTCTCGAGAGTCGGAATTATTTCGCAAACTTGAGAGATAAGCTCGATTTAATCGTGAATTTTTTTTCTTTTCCCTGAAATACGTGGGAAGGTTAATTATCCGGAAAATTCTGTCATTCGCCTTGATCCCTTGATTGGCTATAATTTTAGATTGATATAGCGAGGACAATATGGCATATCGCATCAGCCGGTCCCTTCATCTCTGTTCCTCATCCTCATCCTGGGGATTTGCCTCTGGTAATTCATCCCGCGGTGACGCTCGGGTTAATCGTCAGACGGCCTCAACGCAGGTTGTGGTAAACGAATTATGGAGAGTTGAGCGGTCTCATATATACTCGGCAAATGCCCAAACAAATTTCATCTCTCGACAATATCCTAGCTCATATGACAATTAACATTTTACATCCCATGATAAATGCACATTTCTCATTATTCTAGGGAGGGGTACAGCGAGTTGATGAAATTCTGGTTGAATGAATTTTGGGGAGGGCTGCAGTTCCCTTTTGAAAAAAAGCATCTATCGTTTTTTGTATTTTTTCCGCGTATAGCTAAGCTATGCATATCATACTATATATATAAGAAAAAAATACGTTTGATTTTTCCTCCGAGTGGGAAATAAAACTGAAATCCACTGCTCTTCCCCGATTATTTTTCCATAGTTTTCATTATTTAGAAATTATTTTTTATTAGAATCAGTGAATTGTTATTGAAGTTTTAGGATACACTGATTGTTTTCTTTTTTAAATGAATGAATGAGAATTACGAAACAACCTGATAAAAATATAACATTCAGTTTTAATTAGTGAGATGTCGTATTCTGAGCCCTTTAACAAGTAATGGAATTGAGCTTAGTATTTTAGATAGTATCAACGTCTGTCGAGAGTGAGAGCCAACATGTCAATGTCTTAGCGGAATCTATTTGTCACATGCCTGAAAGCATGGAAACCAACTGGCGTGTAGTTGTTGGACAGTTGACTAACGAACTTACTTGTTTGAGTGTGGTAATTCCCCGAGTGGATAATGACCTGACGATACATGTGTTAATCATTTCATTCAGCATATTCACTGCAGTTTTCCTTTAAATTTTCCACGAACAATTCCTGAAGTCAATAACGAAGTGGCAAACTAGAATTTTCAATTTTCATTTTTTAATCAATTTCTAACCAGTACCTCGAAATTAAAACACACAGCGAATTTTTTGCATGAATATTTTTTTAAAAACCTAGAAAACTTGTCTTTCAAAATATTATCCTTTTTTCAATTTCAATTTATTTCGTAGAATCCCGTTAAAGTCGAACTTTTCCTTAATTTCTTCTTTTGATTATTCGATTTTTTTGGCACTGACTGGGAATGCGACTGGGACGACCACGTGGTAGGGGTAGTTGCATATAGTGGGATTCCCCGAATTCGCTTACCCTACAGCCCCATGCACGCCACTATAACATGAGTCTATTACAACCGGCTAAAAACTGGCCTCGAAAAAAAAAAAAAAAATCACTTACCCTAGTTTACTTCACAATGCAATTATTGGTATATTAACTTCGTATTCATTTATCCATTTAGTTCGACATTTTTGTATCGATTTATTGAGTATCAATGGAATTCTGTTTGGTGTAGATATTTTTGCGGGAACCCTCGAAGTTGAAACGAAATGAAAATTTTGTACGTGAAGAACAATTTGCGGGCGAAATCAAATTTGATACACAGGGCTATTACTTTATTTATTATATAATCAGCATGGCAGATTCTGTAATGGATTATTATTTCAATCACAATCCGGCCATCATCGCTGTTTGTATTCTCGGGTTAATGGAAATAAAATACGGATCCGCGATGTTAAATTTTCACATAAAGAGCTTTTCTGTAAAGCTTTTATCGCTACACATTGGTCAATATTTTAATATCTTCAGGGCAGAATTTCCGTTCCAAATGTAGTGATGTTTTTCTGAGAGGGGAGAGAGCTTCACTCGTATTTGCTGGGTGCCTCTAAAAAATCGAGGTACGTTGTAAATTTGAATCCTAAGCTATGGAAATGGGAGATCTGAGCTGAGAGCTGGCTATAGGTTGGATTGTAAAGATTTTTATTTCAATCATCTGGATTCTCCATCAGCATAAGAAAATACTCTCGAATTTTATCTGTGAGACACGAGGTCATTTTTGATTGATTCGCGTTCACCAGCACTGGACAGTGAATCCAACAAAAATTTTTTGATCAGAGAAAACCTGTATGAAGAAAAATGCCAAAAAAAAATCGACATTATAATGCTATTATCTTGTGATTAAAGGCAGATAGCGATATTTGTACAGAACATTTTTTGTAGGGAAAAATGGGAGCTACAAAAAAGGGATATATGAAAATTTTATAGTTATCCTTCAAATTTAAGATATTTGCAAAAAACTGCTGTCGAAAAAATGTAATTGGAAAATGAAATGCCGGATAGGGGAGAAATAACATTCGCACAAGTTATAGTCGACATGCATTCTCGAAATACACGAATGACTTTCATCTTGAACATCCGCTCATGTTACGTGAAGGGGTTGAAAGTGTAAGGGGATGAAAGGGGTTAAATTGGAAACCAACGGTCGTGTGAGTCACTATTGCCTTTATCGCACATACAATTCTGATAGAGGATTTTCCTGTTGTGAGGAGAGAAAATAGGCTGAACGGGGTACACGATTGGGGGCTAAAGGGTGGTTACCCTAATTCACTCAGATTACGAGGGCGAGTAAAGTAGTCGGGTGGATATTGGAGAGGAGTAAAACCTTCGCCTTGACAATTTTCCACAGGATTTTCAGGAGTCAGTCTTTATCTCTTCACGTCTACTTCTTTTTAGGAGGATAATTTTTTTATCGCCGCTGACTCTGGTATCTTTTTGAGGCTCTCAGAGATACTGTTAAATGGCAAAAAATTAGCTCCACTTTTCCTCGATTTATAATTAATTGGGGATCAGGTCTTTTGAGTTTTAAACGGATGAAAACGTCAAGTCGATTTGAATTTCTTGATTGGCGCGGTATCAAACATTAATCATTGTAATTTCAGGGGCCTTCATCGAGATTCCAATTTTTTTTATCATTAATTTTAAAAACTACTATTATTCAATAATTTTTTTTTTCCTTTAATCAGACTAAATTTTGCTGTTAATTCCGTCCATGGTAATGGAACATTATGATAGTGTCAGAGTTCCGTTAATTACAAGTTGTGGGTTCAATAATTTTTTGCACATTTTGCAATTCTGAAATGTGGGGTTTATCGCTCCGCAATTCGTTGTCAAAACCCATCAACGATAAAGAATGTGTGGTAACTCTATAAACGCAAGATACGCAGTTTTTTGAAAATATGTGAAGTACTCAACTATTTTATATTCGATAAAAGATGAATTATTCTCCAATTAATGGGTCTAGTGGTTTCGATGTCAATGGTGGAGTTTATTGATGCGATACACGGCTAACATCGTAAAGTCCCGAAGTAATTGAACGAAAATTGCCGCTCGAGGTTATTTACCTGAAGCGAAATGACTGTTACGGTTTCATCTTTCTTCTAAAAGCCCTTATAGATCAGCGAACTATGAGCCCCAATTTTGTGAAGTGGAAAAACTTTAAATTTATTAATTGGAGTGAACCAATAGTTCCGAGTCCCTTTTTTATTTTACGAGATAGCTTGATTCTATATATCCTGAATATCGATTCTGCACGAGAGTAGATCCAACGATTAGGTCATCGGTGACGTCTCCATGAATTACGTACCTGGGGTGCGCTGAGTTGGCCATCAACGTCAACTGCCATTGGCGAGGATTGGAAGGATTTCGATAGGGCCCTGGGAATTCAGTGGGGAGTGAATACATGTGGGGAACAGTGTCAAGAGAAATTCCCTCTCGACCTGCTGTCCCTCATTTTGTATACGCAGCAATCGTCATGAGATTAGAACTGTATCGTAAGGAAAATAGTACAGGCGGAGACAAGACAACGCAGTAGTGGGAACTATTCCGCAATCACTTGGACAGCGTCCAATTTTATCCGACTGACTTTTTACATGGCGAACGCGACGCGCCAGCAAAACACTCTCCATCCGGTCCTCCTCAATCCTCACAATTCACCCCCATCGACCTCCTCTATCCCCTCGATCCCCATCACCACCCACTCAACCACCCACTGAGTTTGTGTGCACTCGTTCCTCTACTCTAGACTCTGTACAGCATTTGCTCCCCTGGCCCATCGGCGAACCTGAAAATACGTACACAGAATCTAAAAGTGGCTTTCGAATTTTTCGCCCACATGTCGATCCTCTCGTCCCCCTAACTGAATTATTTACTCAACTTTTTTCCTCTAATACGAGTTTAAAAAATTATATAGACCACATGATTACGCTTTATTTTAATTATTTCGTGTTCTATTGCAGATTTTATTGTTTTTTTTTTTAAGGCGAGGGAATTTTCACTATTTTAATGCGTAATATTTGGTGTCGGGAGTTAGTCACTCGGGAAAAAATATCCTGACGAAATCCCCCCCGAAAATCTTCTAAACAACGAAATCATTTCGCTCTTCCATAATTTTAAATCGTGTAATCACCCGAGCGCAATATATCTGTGAAGAGTTTTGTTTGCATTCGTCTCTGTGACCCTCTGATGTAAACCCAAACCCCAGAGTAGCTCCGCCATTACTCAAGAGGTACTCCAGGAAATCTTTCCACAAATGTCCGTGAAATCCACCCTTCACCCCCAATATCTATATTTGCCAAGAAAATAATGTGAAACACCGATAGGAAAGTTTATGGTTAAAAATATCTTATTCCTCTAGCCGTAACAGTGGTATACTCGACGATCCTTGAGGGATCATAAAAAGGGATACGGAAAATTGAAATTCAGACTGAAAGGGTCAGAAGGGAATGGACGATGGAGCAATGGGAAAAAACTCACTGTGAGGATAAAAAAAAAACTAAAAGAAATGTTTCAGAACTGGGAATTCACGCTGAATCGTGACCAAAATAAATTGTCAGTCCTTTGACGACGTCTATTCTACCACCCACTCACCCCATCGTATATACGGAGATAGGAGAAATATTCGGTTGAAAAGTATTGCAACCCCCCACCCGTTCACCAGTGAAATGGGTATATCAGCAGTGACATAAGACGGGAGTTTTATGATTTGTGCAAGTTTTTCTTTATAGGTTTCAAATGTCAGTCCTTTAAATCGTGGGGTGAATTTTGCGGATGACGAACCATTTATTTTTTTATTTTTCTTATCTCTTTTCCAGACATTTGCAGGAGAATTTCTCCTTCATCGACAAAACGAGAACAGCGATATGGGGATGGAGTTATGGGGGATATGCTGCTGGTATGAGTCTGGCAATGGACCGAGATGCTGTATTCAAATGTGGAATGTCCGTCGCCCCAGTGACCGATTGGGCACTTTATGGTAAGGATATACTCGTATATTCTCAGGGTTAAAGGGTAACTCCCTCTATTCACCTAGATAATCACGGAGAGAAATTTATTGAAATAATTTTTGCGCCAAGCAGTCTTCATTTTTATTTTTAGCAGATGACTTATAAATTAATAGAGAATATATTAATACTGATTTATAGAATATGATGTCATTAAATCATGACTTGCAGCAATCAGAACCCCGTGAAAGCTCTTCATATGACATTTTGACTATTTTCATTCCACCTAGAAAAATATTCTCAAAGCTAGACACACATGCCTGATGGAAAAATTTTACTTTACCTCCGACTGTCTTTCAACTTTTAGTATTACTCAGCACCGAGACTTTGAGGATATTTACATAAAGCAGGGGGCGTAAATCGGGAGTCTCAAGTCATCTTTTATGGAAAAGCTCACGAGTTGTGGGAAAACAGATCCGGTCACGTGGAAAGAATTGAGAAACTATTCAACTTTGCTTTCAGATGTCGGTTAACAATTCAGACACTTTCCACTGGGAATTACTCAAATCCCTAGTTCGTGTAATTATGAGTGGAATTGACACTCAATATTCCGCTTTAAATAGCATTTATTATGCTGATTCATTTGCATCAATCCGCAATACGATTACAGTGTCACGGTTAGTTGGAAATTGCTTTTTCGATGAACAAGGTAACAGAGGTAATTAACTGTCGTTCAGTTTCCAATGAGGGAAAATAAATTGTTGGATAAATTGTTATAAAAGTTGGGGATCACTAGCGGATTAAATTCGAAACTGTCCAAGCAAACTTTGGAGCTATTTCGCAATCATTGAGGGTTGAAATTGTGGCTGAAAATGGGATTGGATCGTGCGAAATGTTTTCGAAGATATTTCATTCACGTAGTCATCGTAATTCCATTTTCGAAAGAATTTCAATGAGTTTTCATGAGATAAAAGACGAGATTCTGTCGGGATTGAAAGACTTTTTTTTAGTTAGTTTTTCGGTGGACGATGACCATGATATAGGAAAATTTAGGATTAAATTTGTGTCGCGGGCATCACTCGAATGGTTATACAAAGATAATAAAAAAAAAAGGAAAAACTAGTGAAGAGTGCTAAATTGCGATATCGATTGAAAAGAATTTACCAAGTGTTACAAAAAAAAATACGCAGCTCATAATTGGGTCTAGCTGTCACTCAATCGTATTTTTTATTATTATTTTTTAAACTCGGCAGATCCCTTTCGATCATTATCGTGATTTAGCGCTCTCCACTGCTTTTTCCTCTGTTTTTCATTATCTTTTTATAACCATTCGAGTGGTGCCTTTGAACGCAAATTTGATCCCGAATTTTGATACATTTTAGGCAAACCAGATAAAATTGAAACAAAAAATAACGTTTGATAGATAGTTCATGCGGCCCTTAATATAAATTCCATATCAATAAAAAATAATAATCCCAACTTCCCTGAAAAAGAGATTGCGTTCGTGACTTCATTAAATTCTTTATCATTGAAATTCCTTAATGGTTTGACTGTAAATATATAATCTACCCGAAATACAAATCTCCTTCCCAAAAATAGCCAGCAATTGGTAAACGATGCTCCTATTTTTCTCCTCGCAGATTCCATTTACACCGAGCGGTTTATGGGCCTACCAAAAGTCTCCGACAATCTACATGGTTACGAGCAGGGCCAACTTTTGAACAAAGTAGATAACATTAAATCCAATAGCTACTACCTTATTCACGGAACCTTTGACGACAATGTGCACTATCAGCAGTCTCTCCTACTTGCCAAAGTCCTCGAGCAAAAGGATATACTCTTTAGACAACAGGTATGGCATACTAAATCTATTCCATTCCATTCAAATTTTTTTTATCGATTTTTAACCATTTTCCTGTGGAGATATATTTTTCAAATTGATAACAACATGGCAATTTATAAAATTGGTTTCAGTATTTTCACAATCAAATTTTAAAGAAATTTTATCCTGCATCGTAAATCAGATAACGAATTGTTTGAATTTTTCAAATAATTTACTAATCATCTCTGAAAATCTTCAGTTGAATGAAATTTACTTTCTTGCAGACGTACACGGATGAGGACCACGGAATCGCTCAATCACGATCGCACCTCTATCACTCAATGGAGAATTTCCTTGACGACTGTTTAATAAAATTATGATCACGAGATATTTTTCAACGATAAAAATATTGAGAGTACATTCAGCCTCAGACTTGTCTGTAAATAAATGGGAATAACGACGATCCTGTACAAAGTTTATGTACGATATTGTAATATGAGTGTTCATGTAAATATCAATCCAGAGATTAGGGGAATACGATGATTGTCAAGATTTTTAATTACAAATAGATCGTTTTTTCAAGAGTGATTATAAAGTTTTATGGAAAGATATGGAGAACAATTTTTTAATGAATAAAAATTATTACAAAGAATATGAATCAAATTTGTTATCAATAAAAAAGAGCTTAATGATGTTAATAGGTCAGTGACCTCATTTTATCTTGTCAAATTGTCGTGAAATATTCGAGGGGAATGCATTTATGTACTTACAGATGATTTTGGGATAGACACACTCAAACACTCGTTTTAATCATTCTGATGGGGATATTTTTGTCGCTTCGAGATGAATTTTTTTATTATAAAATTATTCATATATCGTTTCGAGTTATGATAATTGAGAATTTCATATTAATTGTTTTTTTCTTTCGTCGCGAAAGTTAAATGGAATAAGGAAATGTATGAAATATTTCAAATTAATGAGTATCTAACAATTTTTCAACTGAAGAATAAATCCTCATTTCCTTATTGTATTTAACATGTGGTATTTGAAATCTTTAAGATAGCATATCTATCACCTTAAGATTGTTAAGATTTACAAGTTCAAGGTACTAATGTTCTTTATAATAACGAACACAATAGTGTAAATACTTCAGGACTATCATAGTTTTATCGTAAATAATAAAGAGAATTTTTAATCACAAGGACCACCAACAAAATTAACTTTTTTTTTCAAACAACGGCTGAACAGACGTGGATTATAACAAATTTAATATGTAAAATTTGAATGATGATGAATAATGTACTGATTTATCTCTGATACGTGTGTATATAGAGCAAAAATTTTCAAAATCTCAAACTTAGACGGAGGAAATTGCTGTTTATAAAACGAAAATCGAAGATATGAGGAGGCGAGAACAATTTTAGAATCCTGACAAAGCTTGTACACCCATTATTCATTATTTGTTGAGTGTAAAAAAAATATAAAGCTCTATGTTTTATTAAAAAATTAGTTTATTCATTATTACCTTTACAATTCACAAAAATCTTGACAGGTGGTGTTACGGAACGATAGAGTTCAGGAGTTTTCGGTTTCTTTGAATCTGAAAAAAAAAAACAAAAAATTCATATACAGTTATGTTTTGAATCTCATTCAATATGAAATTATGTTGATACTAAATTATTTTAGCTCAATTATGGAAATTCAAGATCCTTGAAATAATTACAATAATTCCACGTGCAGAATGCAATCCATTTGGGTTTATTATTGTAGGAAATTAAAAAGTAAATTTTCTGAGAAATTGTAGAACACTCACTTGCACTTGGTGCATGTATAGAATACCGTCTGTCCCTCATCAGCTGATCTCAACTGCAACGTGGCATAACTCATTTTATCGTTACCACATTGGGGGCATTTTCTATCAACAACTGGACCCTCAGCCTCTTCTTCTTTCTCCTCTTCTTCTTTAACCTTCGTATCCTCATAAGCATCGAGGGCAGTCATGGTGATGGTGTAAGTCATAGCCATATCTCCAAATACTTTAAGAAAAAACGTGATTATTTTTTTTAAAAGGGAATTATTACTATTGTTTTTTTTCATTGGAATTGAACCATGTGCAGCGCAGAATGATCCTCACCCTCAGGCCCCCAACTTCTTCCACACGCATAGCATTTGACAGCCCCTCTGTCTCCAAGAAGTGGCAAAATAGATCCGCAATCTGAGCAAAATCCAGCAGGACTATTGAAACATACTCTCTCTCCATCGAGTGCCATGTTCTGATGTAAGTACTGAGAGTAATCAACGAAATTATCAGCGCTTCAAGTTTCACTCATACACATTCGCTGCTACCGCTGCTACATAATATGGGCTCGGCCATATTGTATCACGTGGTATTTTCTTGATCGCAGGAACGGAACCACGCATGCGCATGGGACGAACTATCGGATCCATTTAAAATGAGTGGAAATAAAAAAATGAGGAAATATTACAATTACGTTACATTATTTATTGCGCAACATACGACACATGAAATTGTAATTAGTATATTTTCATAGCATTTATCGTGCTACCTATATTAAGTACCGACGTACAACACGCCAGATGCTAAATTCTGGGCTGTTAGCGCATTGCTCTCCCACACATTGAACAATATTCTCAGTCTTTTGCGTGTTACGTCCTTCTCGAAATTCAGGCACGTTCGCAGCGGGAACCAAATTTTATTTACGACTTTTTTCATCTTGAAGAAACAACAAAAAATGTCAGTTTATCGCATAGAAAATTATAAGAAATTTCTACCAAAAAATTCACCGATACAATCCTCCTAGTCTTTGAAATGAAAATAGCAGTTAATATGAATAATTGCTCACCGGTTTAACAGGACATCCTTCTGGTATCGCAAGCATTTGCCGGAATAAATTTAAGAAGCCACAATTATCAGTGATTGGTTCACAAAGAGACTGCGACTCGTGATACAAATCCTCATAACGAAAGAATCCAAAAGTTTGTACTGTAGTATCGACCTGCGTGAAACAAATACGACTATTGTACTACATGCACAAATGTTTCTATTTATTATTTATTCCTTTTCATTGAGCTCTGAAGCCGAACCCTTTACACTGGTAAAAAGAAGGCCTTTCTCAATATTATTCTTAAATGATTTTTTGGTTTCTCAAAATCAGTTTGATCCGTTACAAGTTGGTATTATAGGATTACTTACATGGATTTCAGTGTCTTCCGTTATGTTTTTCAAAAATTCAATCCCAAGGTACCATCTATTAAGGGGTGAAAGATAAAAGCCAGACCACCAGGAGTTGGGTGGAATTTTACCATTCACAAGGTTAACGGTCACATCACTAAGTCTATAGGGTCTCTGAAACGAATAATCTTACATTGAATATCTTCCTGACTTACTGCAAAATATTTCCGTGTATTGCATCTACAGATTAGTGAAATTAATGGAGTTTACTGTGGCTTCATTTAAACGAGAGTTCCAAATTCTTTTAAGAAAATGTGCCATTCAGATTTTTCGCACGAAAATTATGTGTGCAAATTAGCGTTTGTGTCGACTGACAGAGGTAAAAAGTAACTAAATGAAAATTATTACAACATACCGAGTACTCGGCCAACGCAAAGTGCGCCACATATAGTACAAAGTAAAAACAAGTAACGAATTTCATTATTATAGCAGAATCCAAGACGAATGAATTGATGAGCACGATACTACGTTATATATATAGTCAAGTTCCAGCTAGAAACGTAGATGTAGGTGTACAAAACTGATAGTATCTATTACTCAATAAGATTTAAAACAAAAAACACCTGATAAGTTAGACAACCTTCGGACTAGTTCAATACACTTTTGGTCAAAGTATGTCGAAATTCGGCGAGTAATGTGCGACGCATAATTCGTACCATTATCAATTTTTCCATGAGAAATACTTTGGACTGCTTCTCTATTTACACAGATTGAATTCTACACGTGCTTACACGACCTTCCTATTTTATGATCAAACGTTGTACAAAATATGAATAACTGATTGAATA